CCTGATAAGCAGCAGCCAGGCAGGACATGGTGACCAGCTGGTGCTGCTGGCAGGGCTGCCTGCACTGCATCAGGGCTGGAGCCTGGCAGCACGGAGCGGGACGGGAGGGGAAACCACAGCAATTCCGTGGCAGAGGAGGGAAGGGGCAGGCACTGAGTCACAGCCCTGGAGCACAGCTGGTGTCACTGTGACACTCTATGGGTGGTGGTGGAGCCCACAGTGCTGCACCACACAATGCCATGGCAATTTTTGCCTTTTCTTTGATATACCTTTGATGAATTCTCAGTGCCCTTAATGTGCATACTTGTAATTCCTTAAGTCTAATAACTTAACAGAGTCCTAATTTTCTGTTGGGCCTGAAACATCCTAAAAGCCTCAGAGCTGGAGGCTGGAAAGCTCTACATTATCTTGAAAAACCAAAGCCCCCTCTAAAATACATCTTATAAACTAGGATTAGGCCCATCCAGGGAGGAATACTCGGAAATAGGAGGACATCACGCTATTCATTCAAGCCTTTCATTGGGGCATCTTTGTTAGATATGCTAATTTACAAAGTCTATAAAATTATGTACGCGATCTAGCGCGTGTGTGCATTTCAGAGTGCTCCACCTTGTTGAAGTGGTGCACCCTAAAGATCCTTATTAGACACCAAGAGAAAAAAACCCTTTATCCCTTTACTGTGTCTGGCTCTTAATTTTAGGGCCAAGGGAAAGGTATGACCCACACTGCTGTGCCCCACACTGGGCCTGAGCTGTGCCAGGCCCCTCCATGCTGAGGGCACACAGGAAACTAAAGAGCCAGAAAAGCAAAGTACTGCCAGAGAGAAGAAAAACGACCCAAATGTAAGTGACAAGTGTTGTTTGAATAGGAAACAATGTCTCGCTGAACTCTGCACATAAAATGAGTGGAGAGAGCGGAAAATGTCTGAAGCAATTTGCAGGAGTTTATTGAATCCCCACAGGGAGCTCCAGATGGTTTGTGTGGCCAGCGTGGCTTTTGTTGCTCATGCAAAAGCTGCCCTGAGTTTTTGGGAGCATTTGTGATGGCAATAGTGCTTGCTTTCCTCTCTCTCTCCTGGCACAGACACGGGAATTCTCTCCCCACTGAAGCTCTAGGGGGGTCCCCTCTGTCCCCCCTACTCCCACCACCAGCACCGGACAAGAGGGACAAGGGTTGTCCCTGTGCAGCACTTTGGTGTTACTCCCCTTTTTCCATGTTCTTTGCGAGTCAGAGGCTCGTCCTCAGATCTGCACTTCTGTTTTTTATGATGCTTAAAGATGGTTTTGTGGGTTCTGTAATGAAACAATCTGTTGTCATCAGGCTGTTCCAACGGGTTTGTAGGCACGATAATGTTCTGGCACAGCATTTCCCTGGGAGATGAGATCCATAGGGCTGCTCCTGACTCCTGCTACAGCTTCCTGTGACAACCCCACTTCAGGTACAAGCCTCCCCCCTGTCCCCCTGTTGCATCTCCCACGAGTTTAAAGGCATCAGGTTTAAACTGACAAGATTCCCACACAGTGCTGTCATGTAAAGCACAGCCATCCCCTGCTTAACCCTTCCCTGGGCTCCATTTCCCCTGTCCCTGAACTTCAGGCTGGAGCACCAGAGCCAGACATTCATGGTGGAGAGCAAATGACTCCCAAGACTGGGGGAGGCAGAGCTCTGGGGCAGCCTGTGACTTTGCAAGCCGCCTCCAAGCAGAGAGAAGTCCTGAATCAATTATACATCCAAGCTATTCTTTCCTTCCAGTCTCTGACTGGCCCCACCATATGCTGTGCTCTCACTGCATTCTACCTAAAGGAGGAAGAAAAGTATTTGAGGTTTGGGTTTTTTTCAGTCATGCATTTTTAATTGGACTATAAATTTCTCTTTGTTGTGTTCTATAATGTTATTTTTATTTTCCAATACAACTGTCTCTTCTTTGATGAGAGCAGAGATTTATTACCCAATTTCCAGCTTTATGTCTCCCTTTTGGTCTGTGGTTTTAGCTGTTTCCTAGTTATACAGACAATCCCTTTTCCCCATCTTTTTATAGCTGAATTTCCTCAAGTCCTTGTTTCTGCACCACTCATTAATGCCTACTTCTTTTACTCAGTCTCCTCAGGATTCATCCTGGATCCATCCACAGACCTACATTTCCATTTTATATCTTCTTGAGGATGTCTCTGAGCCTCCCATAATTAGACAAGATATTGTCATTGAGCAGTGTGATGTTACAGTGATTTTATGGCTGTGTTTATGCTCTGTCCCCCTGCCCAAGTCCTGCACAGAATTACTGAAAGGCCATTGCATGTGTTTATTTTTATACACCCACAGAGAATGTCACATCACAACCTTCAGTCCTCTGGTTGTTGGTAGGTGAAGCCACAGCCTCTCTTGCCCAGGATCCTGCCAGGAGGCTGCACCAGGTGTTTTACCCGAGTTTGTGCAATGGAAGGAAAATGAAGCCAAAGTTAATTTAAGCACAAATACCCTGTAACCTGCTAATTAAAACAACTCCCTGGCGCTCTGCCCTAAAATACCTCCTCATTAATAGGCACGGGCAGCAGGGACATGAGTAGGACACAGCTGTGCCTTGGCAGAGGGGTCTCCTGCCTTGGGCACTCCCAGCCCAGTGTGGGGCGGGCATGGGGACCTCGAGTACCTGCTGGGCACACCTGGAGAGCTGAAGTACCCCTGCACCATGGGCACAGCTCTGCCTCGTCCCCAGGAGCCACAGCAAAGCCCAACCAGAGACAAAGCCCAGCAGATATTGGGTGCTGGCCACACTGCAGCTAAAATCCAGCCCAGGGCTGGTCTGGTGTGGTGAGGTGACTCCAAGGGGCAATTCAGGTTTTAATTCCAATGCCTGCACTGGCTATGGGGCTCAGATTCTGACCTTTCTGTGTGTGATAGCTGTGTTTATCTAAGCAAAGCCTTCTTTGCTTCTAAACTAAAGAACCAACACACATCCTTCACTATTATTTCAGTCTATTTATACGAAGTGTAGTTCTGTGCAGACTTGAAAGGTCACAGGAAAACCCAGGGAGTGAATTGGCCCCATTGGTTCTAATACTGCTTTGACATTGAGAAGATTCCTTGTATTAAGCCAGGAAAAGGCACAGATTACTGTCTGATTCCACTTTAAAAATGAAAATTTGCAGAAAGATTCATAGAAGTCTCCCCTTTCCTGTGGAAAAGTGCTTCCAGTGGGGGCGGGTGAGCAGCAAGAGGAGGAGAAAAGTTCAGAAAGGCATTTGGGTTTATCCCTTTAGCTCCACAGACAGCCCCTATGCTCCTCTGTGACCTTTCACTTGCACTCATCCTGCAGAGCCAGACCTTTGTGTATCTTTGTTTCAGCATTTCAAAGGAGGGATTATTTGAAGAACGCTCAAGGAAAAAAATAAGTTTCTAATATTCATGCAGTATACCCTGTAAGAATATGTTTCAAAATATGCTTGAGCAAGTTGAACAATCCCTGTTTTGATGAGCTCTGGGACAGAAACCTAAAAATAACATTATTAACAGTAAAATCTGTGAAGGACAAAGCAACACCTCAGCACACACATGGCTGATGACCGTGGCCCTCCCTCAGCTCACAGCCCATTGCTGGGACTGCCACCCCTCTGAGCAGAGCCAACAGCCCATGGGGACATGTCTTGGTGTCCCCAGCACAGCCAGGAGTGGGACAGGAGAGCCACAACATCCTCAGCAGCCAAAGCCATGTGTGACACAGGAGCTGCAGCACCCTTGACAGCCAAAGCCACCTGTCCCCAAACCCCCAAGATGAGCTGTGGGTGCTGCCAGCCATCCCTTCCCTGAGGGGCAAAGGAATGAGGGTGGGGTCATCTCTGACCAACTCAAATATTCACACTCCCAATGCATTCTATTGACTGCACTTGCCAAAGAGATTAACCTGGCTGCCCCTGGGGTTTGTGTCTGGACTACTCTACTGGTGGAAATAGAGTTGTGGGTTTCCTTAGGTGAGGGGAGAAGGGAAAGACGAAACTCAGGTGCGAAGCCCTTCAGTTTTTTAGCAGCACATTGATGAATGAAGTTCAGAGCAGCTCTAGCAAGCAGAGGAAGCCCAGTTGGAATAAACAGTTCCACATGCTAATACAGTCAGGGTTTCTGTCTTCACCTCCAAGGGGGCTGTGGGACCATTACTGCATTAAGGCTCAGCTAAACAAAGAAGGAGGAACAGAGGTTGAAGCTGTGGGATTTTTGGTTTCATCAAGCCTGACATCTCTGAGATAACACTTCATTTTCATCTCCATTTGAAAACATTAATAAAAATTTGTTAGTTCAGCATAAATGTTTTGGGAAGAACCTTCCAAATCCACAAAACTGAACAAAGAGCTAAAATGCACTGAAATTAACTATTGTTTATTGGGGTAAAAGCATTTTTTGCTTCAAGATGGGAAAGGATCATGCCTGGAGCTCCAGCCAGCACTGGAGAGGCTGTAGACAGGAGAGAGAGGATCCACATTGAGCCAGGGTACCCAAGATCACTGCTGATCTTGAGTAGAGAATTATCTTCCTGGGCCTTAATCCTACTGCCTGCAAGCTCTAAAAGTCACATCCCTTCTCCCCTTGCCTTCTAGCTGGTGTCTGGTTTTTCTCTTTGCACTATAAAGCTGGAGGATTCTCTTTCTATTACAAAGCTGAGCAAAGCACCAAGCGGGCTGGGTTATACCAAGTCGTTGTCTGGTGAGACGTGACTTAGGTCAGGCCTTGAAGTATTTCCATAAATTGTATTTAAGAAGTGAAATAATTCACACTGCACTTCTTGCAAATGTTTGCCAGAGAGGGGCCTGAGCAAAGCCTGGATATGCACAGTGCTCCCTGCTCGGGGAAGGCAAAGTCACCTCCATGACTGGGGCACCCCCGGAGCTGCTGCTCACCTGCTCCAAGGACAAGGCTGGCAGTGAGGGCTGCGAGGACAAACCCTGTCTCACCTCATGGTTTAGTTTCGGATCTTTTCTGCATTGTTGCTACATTTCAGCAGCAAGGCCCACCACAGGAGCAGGAATACCAGCACTGATTCCCAGCGCTGCCTCATGCATCCTCATCATTACTGATGCCTTTTCACGCTTACCTAAAAACAGAAAGACAGAATTAAGAGAATAAAAGCAGATATATTTAATGAAGGGCCTTCAGGTACATTTAGGGAAGATGAAGCCTCCATGAGAGGCTACACCCAAGATGGACAATGGTCACAAGTTTTTCACACAGATAGAAATTTGGTCCATTTGCATATCAGGGGTTAATTCTCCAATTACAACTTCAGGTAATGAAGTCACATACCCCCAGTTTGCTCCCACCTCAATTCACTTTTGTTTATACTTTTAGGGTCTGAGGCTGTAGGGTGTCCTTGGATTTCAGTCATGAAGGGATTGTTTTGTCTGACCAAAATGTGAAGATAATAGCTAACTCTATATGGAGTTTAGAGTTATGCACTAGTGCAGTGGATTGAAAAATATAGGATTTGCAAATACAGGATTTGAAAAATATAAAACCTAAAATCCTAAGGCATCATTACAGCCCCAATATGTTACCAGTGGATTTTAGCTAAGGGAATCCCACAAAGTGGGGGAGCTATACATGCTCACCCTGGCAGATTGGCTGAGGTCAAGAGCAGCTGTAGGAGGATGTAGCATGGATCAGGGCAAGAGGATGCAACCTGTGCCCCCTGTCCAGCCCCCTTGCTGGGATTTTCCTGGGACTCGTGTTTGCAGCAGCTTAATTCTGGATGTTGCAGAGGACAAGTGGCAGTGACCCGACACTTCATCTAATCAGATTCACATGCTGCTGCCCAGCACAGTCCCATTTGCTGCTGGCCCAGAAGATGCTAGAAGCATCTTTTCCAAATAGCCTTTAAATATATTACACACCTCAAGAAGAAAGTGCTGCATGAACCAGCAACTCAGCGTTGCAGCAGGGGGTGTCTGCAGCACCCTCTCTGCATTTGCTTTCACATGGACAGCTCCACTTATTAATCTTGGGTTTTGTCACTTAACTCAGAAACTGAAGATATTACTCAAGTTCTGCAGCAGTTCCCAGTAAATGAGAGGAAATTCAGGGACACTGTCCCTGATTCCAATCCACGGTCCAGGCATGGAGCAGTGACCCCTATGGGGCTGTTCCCTGGCTGCTCATCCCACACGTGGGAGGAAGAGGAGGATTGTTTTGCCCAACTTCATGTGGTTTCCCCCAGACAATCTGCTTACTGTACAGCCCTTGTGAGAGGAGGATGCCAGCTTGTGTTCACTGATTTATAAATAGGGTGGGAAATAGGAACCCTTCGCTCCTCAGTTTTCCTGTCAGAAATCTCTTCCTTCAATATGCTTTTTAATTAAAGTCAAATTCAGCTCAACTGCATACTCAGCTCCTTTTGCAGCTCCCACTCACCAGTATCCCATTTTCTTAAGCTGCTTCAAACCATTTTTCCATTGAATCCATGCTGCCCCCAGTTTACAGCTCCCGGTTTACACCATTACGAAGGAGATACTGACGCACCTAAAATGTAAGAAATGGCAGGAAAAACAAAGAAGTTTCACTTCAATCAGTAGATCCATTAACCCTTCCAGAGACCTGCCTGCTCCCTGGAGCAGTTTGCTCGTTGGTGCTAACAAGGCATGAGTTATTGCTCATGTTTATGATAGGTTGATGTATCCCATTAATTAGCTTGCATGAATCAATAGAAACCACTGAACACATAATCCTTGGTAATTCATAACACTGGAGTAGCGGAAACAGTGTCCTTAGCATTAAATAAACAGTGATTATGATGATGAATCTCAGAATTCCACAAAACAGCAAGGCTCCGGTCTTGGTGTGAACAGTTCCAGGGTGAGGTCAGTGCTGAGCTGCCAGGGGCACGGTGACATCCACTGTCACCAGTTACAAAGGGCTGTGTGAAGCGCTGAACAATGACTAACACTCCATTTTAGCTGCATTTGGGTCTCTTAATAAAGCTTTCCTCTTCCACCTCCTCTAGAATTGGAACGTTTTTCTAATTCCCCCCTTTTCTCATCTACCAACTAATAATTTACCCATTTAAATTTATGATTCACTATGTTTAGTCATAATAATGAATATTCAGCTTCATTAGCAGATACTTGGTTCAGTTCCTACTGAGACACTCAGCTCTGCCAGTGTAGCAGCTGATCCCTCTGGCAGCGGGGTCACTGGCAGTGGATCCCTTTGGCAGTGGAACCCTCTTGCAGTGGATTCCTGTAATAGTGGATCCCTGTGGCAGTGTGACCGCTGGCAGTGGATCCCTGTGACAGTAGGATCTCCCTTTGGAGCAATGGCCCCCAGTCCTATGCAGGATTGCGGTGCCGATGGCACTGTCACCATGCCCATGGCACTGTTGCAGTACTGGTGGCACTGTCGTGGTGCTGATGGCACTGTCACCGTGCCCATGGCACTGTCACCATGCCCGTGGCACTGTTGCGGTGCTGATGGCACTGTCACCGTGCCCATGGCACTGTTGCAGTACTGGTGGCACTGTCACTGTGTCCCTGGCACTGTCACTGGGCCCATGGCACATGTGCTGGTCCCCTCCCTGGAGCAGGGTGCCCACAGCAGGGCCCTGCCCTCCCCCATAGCCTAGCGTGGGGCAGCTGTAGTCCCGTAGGGTGTCTGGCTCCGGGTCCCTCCCGTGGCACAATCCAAAGGCCTTTTCCCCGGGGAGCAGAGCTCAGCAGGGGTGGGACTAGGGCCTTGTTCTGCTGTGAACACCCAGCTCTGCAAGGGCATGTGCCAAGCCTCAACCCTGGGCAGAGAGGCAAGAGAACTCAGGGGCAGGCTGGCAGCGTGGCTGGGAGCAGGCAGGGCACCCACCACGGTGACAGGGACCCCCAGCCCTGAGCTCGGCCCATGGCACCAGCACAGCCCCATGCCAGCTGCTCCTCCGTGGGCAGCTGCTCCTCTGTGACACAGAATAGGTTTTTAAAAGCTGATTTTGATCATTTAGAGAATGTGGAATTCCTTTGGAGCCCGGCTGCCGGGCAGGTCCAGCACGTCCCTTCGCATCCTGTGCTCTGTGTGTGGCTGTTTGTAAACCAAGAATACAGATGACAGGAAAATAATGAAAGCATTTTTCAGAGCAGATCCTTTTGTCATTCCCCCCCTTTTTTTTTCTTTCATTCTCAGGAATAAAGTGCTGCTTTTAAGCCAGAAAATCTTTCAGCTGTAATTACCCTGGGCATTCAGAATTGAAAATTAAGAATTGGGGGGAAGGATTAAAACAAAGGGAGGGAAAATAACCATTCATAAAATATATTGAAGATTGTAGGTTTCAAAAATGTCCTCCCCAGGCAGATCTTTCCCACCATAAAAGATTTCAGTCAAGCTATATTGGGAAAGAATTTGTAAAAAATGGTGAGCTTTTATTCTCACAGGTCCCAGAGTGGGCTCCTGTGTTGCCCCCACCTCCCATGCCCAGCAAGTGCCACATGCTAGCAAAGTCTGTTTTTTCCCTCTGCTTAACAACACTAAAACATTAAAATAGGAAGAAGAGAAGGCAAAATCAGTCTCTGAATCTCCAAATTGCACCTTTGGCTGCCCCAAGCACCAGCAGGTTTGACCAAGGGCAGGTTAATCCCACAGAACCCCACATTCCCTCTGCATTCTGCTCTTCCTGGAGACCTGTTACAGGTCCTGGAAATCTATTACAGACCTTTGATCTCTTCCTATTAAAAGACTTTTCTGAGGAGAGGAGATGGGATTAAGCAGAAACGATTTTCCCAGGGCACTCTGTGTTTGGGTTTTTCCCCCTTCCCTGCTTTCTTTTAAACAGAAGATGCCAACAGCAAAGATCCTCACAAGGCTTTGGGACTGTCAGCTCCTGAATGGAATCCATTTCATCTATCAAATTTAGCATCTATCAGGAGCAAATATTCAGCATGTGGCACAAAAATCTTGTAAAATGGAACTGTTAAATATTTAGGGCAGACGACAAACAATGTGTCATAATATTTGCAGAACTGCATTTGCCATTCAATGCCTTGTCGCAGTCAAGGCCCCAGTTTTTGGAAGCATCAATGCAAGAGTGAGAAGCAAGTTGACTGTTGGTGTTTGGCTACACTGTGGATGGAAAACAGGATTTAATGTAGGTTTCTTAAGTCTAATATATGCTATATGCCAGGTGGGTATTAACACTTATTAGCTGCATCTTAGCAATGAATATTGGAGAAGAATTTAATTAACATGCAATAATTGGAATTTTAATCCAGCTTGGCAGGTCTGTGTGTGGCCAATGGGCACTCCCAGTACAGAGCTCAAAGATTTGTTGAATCCAGTTTACCTGGGAAGACAATTTCTTTTTCCCCAAATAAGTGGTTTTGGTTTCCAACACCCTGCATTCTGTTTACAGTGAATTTTCACGAATGAACCAGCCAGACCCAGTTTGCACTGGGATAAATGGGAAGAACAGTCACCTGCTCTGCTGTGTGGGGAGCTCCAAACTGGGGAATGGTGCAGGGAGACACAGCCCTCAGCTTTTCAGCACACGGTAAAGAGAAATCCAGAGTATTTTATCACCCTGCAGGTTTGTTAGGAGCCTGGTCAGTCCTGGCACGAGGTGGGATTTATGTTTCAGTGTGGCCTCACTCCCTGCTCCGTGCCTCACCTGAGCCTTGCCCCAATGGACACTCCAGACCCCTCCACAGGGCAATAAAACACCACAGAAAATACACTTCCATCTGCACCCTGAACCCTGTACTACACATCTGCAATAATTCAAAGCTTTCAAACCCCTTTTTCCCCCCATATATTACAGTGTAACATGTGATCTCAGCCCAAAGCACTGCCATAAAAGTGATTCGAGTGTGCCTGAGTCATGCAGCCATCGGTGATTCCCAGGACTCATCTGCTGAGTTTAGGCTGCTTCAGTGAGGTTTTGGGGAGGGGGAGCAGGGATGGGCATGGGGGGGACTGTCCAGTCCAGCTCAGCTGGCAGTGCAGTGGCCGAGAGTGGAGGCTGGAATTTGACACCATGGTTTCATTCAGCCCACACACAAATGTGAGCTGGTAAATAATCCCAGGGAGCCCAGATACCTGCTGAGGTGTCTCATAGTGAGAACAAGACAAGCACAAGTAGCCCAAAGCTGCCAGATCTCCCTTTTGCAGAGAAATGAACCACTTAGAGCCTGTGGGAGCCTTTCCCAGCTAGGGTGGAGGGCAGTGGTGGGACTGGGTGTCCCCCTAGGGTCCTCAGGGTGCAGCCCCACACTCACTTTGGGAGATTTGCATTTCCTGTGCGCTGAACACTGAGCAAATTGAAAGTTTAGCAGTATTTTCCTTACCTTTATCTTGATGGGAATCTGTCCCTCTGAGATTATGATGCTGCTTTCTTTTCTTTTTTTTTTAATTAATTGAGACTGCTTAAAAAAAAAAAAAA